GGGGGGTTGGGGTTGTGTGTGCGAGTGTGTGAGAGAGAGAGAGAGGTGGCACGAGCCAAAAGTTGGTTCTGGATTCAGATTTGACTAATGCTAATGTCACCTAATTTATTATCCAAATTTGCTAACAGAATTTATTATAACCTTTGGATGATTACGGGTCATCAAATATTAGAATTTAGTATTGATCTAATAATTTTATTAAAATCACGTCGTTATGTCAATAAATTAAATCAAATTTTTATATCCAAATAATATTACTTTTCAGATTTTATAGAGCGCTCTATTTCTTGAACAGCTAATCAAACCTCTGCCTATATTAGTTTTATTTATTACATAAATATTTGTCTACATTGTATATAAATTATACTTTAACCTCAATCATAAGGGATAATACAATGTTTCCCAATTATTATATTTCTCATATTATTACTTTAATTATTGTTATTTGTTTCATATTGACCTCTCAATTATCACATTTTTAGACCGCATCTCTAATTTTAATCATTGTTTTGCATTATTGCAATTGTAAAGGTGCGTATTTTAGTACACATGGCACTTTTGCTGTCCAAAATATGATGTATATTACTGGGTTTGAGACAAAATTATTTTAAGTAATTGGCGGGACACTACAAAAAAAAATTTATAGTTAATGGGGTAAAGTAAGATCCTTATCATTGTTAAAGGGATTAAAATATAATTTATCCTCAAAATAATGTTTAGATCAACACTGTACCAGTTCCTTAGGAATATGCCATGTAATGATGCGTTTTGCTTTAACTCTTAGGGTCTAGAAAAAAGTTGCATTATGAACACTATTTATTAATTGACATTGAAAAGTAGCATATTCTTTTAGTACAGACTCCATATGCTCTAGGATGCTTTCATTGATGGCTAATATGGGAAAGCAAACACTTTGGGCTCGTTTGATTGTCCTATTAAAAATGGATGGACTAAATATAATAATATAGTCTAATATACTACGAAAGGACAAAAAATAAAATTAAATAAGTTATTAGAATAATATGTAATTTTATCAATTATTTGGTAATACAAAATATAAGTGTTGGATAGTAGTTATTTTATCCAATCAATTAGTTGGTTAGAGAATTATTTCATCATATTAATATTAAATTAACAAAAATATCCTAAATCAGTGTTTGTTACATTGATGACAACTTCATTTTATCAGTTAAGGGGTTATAATAGTAAATGTGTAGAATAATACGTTTGAGTTGGATTATAATATCACATCTCTTGGTTGTATTAAAAAACTTTTATAATACAGAGCTATCGTATAAAAAATATACGATAAGTATACGATTAATATACGTTTTTGAAATTAATACAGTATCAAATTTGTTTACCAAACAAAGTATTAGACCCAATTAAATAAAAAATAGTACAATCTAATATTTAATTTCCTCATAATACGTCTACCAAACGAGTCATTTGGGTATTCTATTCCCACTTTTATTTGCTCATCTACCAACGCTAAAGGAATGAGATCCTAATTTTTTTACCAACACTATTTATTCCTATTTTACCCGTTGTGACTGAAAAATAATTTTGTCCCTAACTCTAATCATATCCAAATTTAATAAAACATAAGATGCAGCATTTTTGAGAAGTTTATAATATTTATAATTACTAATCGTTTCTTAGAAATTGACCAATTTAATTTGATGATTTGATTAACTTTTTCACTAATCTTAGTTTAATATAAACTTGATGTGTGACGCCCTTAAAACTAGGGGTCTTTTGTCAACCTATTGATCACCCATCTGAAATTCAATATATCACTATTTGTACTCCATTATTACTCATTTAAATCATTTGAGTAAAAGGACACAAATCTCGAAAGAATGACAAAGAGACTCATAAAAATTGAGATTTTTGGAACATCTACTGATAAGTTTGTCATCGTTCTATCAATAGATTTTGCTTATTGGAAAAATTCTACCTCAAAACTTGAAGTTCTACTGGTAGGTTTTGCCTACTGAAAATGTTCTACCGGTAGGTTTTATCAGTTTCCCTACGATTCCTTCCTTTTTCAATTATAATCTATTCCAAACTTATACAACCTCATATCAAACTCATATAACATCAATTTTTACATACAACAAGATTCATACAATTCCATTACAGTCATTTTCATATAATCACATGCCAAAAAACTTATCTAAAAAAAAAACACATACCAAAAAACTAAATTTCTACAATAGTCTTACAAAACATGATTTAAAAGTCACAAATCGACTTTTCTTCATCCTTGAGGCCCCAGATGTGAGTCGTCTATCAGTGTATAACTCGCATCTAAAATGTTTTCCCATAAAGGGTGAACCACACTCAATAGGGGGTTATCTCATAAAGAGGTTACTCCTCAACCTAGATGTATATGAAATGTTCACATGCAAATTCAACAAGAAACAATCATTCATTCAAGAATATGCAATTCGATGATAGATTTTTTATGTCATGCCATATTATGAAATGAGATTCACACATGCAACTCAATCCGAACATTTACTGGCTCCCGTCACCTATGCAATGTCATAAGTATAAAATCGGGCTTTCCAAACCCTTGTCATTATGTTGCATATCAAATGACATTTTTTTAAAAAATAAAAATAAACCATGTATTTTTGTTGGGTAACGGGATGTTGGTGTTTCACCGCCGGTTCCGCACACCGATACACTTTTTTGAACTTTTTTCCTGCGAAAGTGTATAAATCAGTAACGAGGTCTTACACTCAATGAAGTGTCTAACTCTTCTTCTTATACCCGACACAAGTTTTTTATGTAACCGTGCCACTCTGTCGAACCTTGGTCCGACTTTACTGAGCCCACTTATTAACCACTAAGGATGATGTTTGATCCAACAACATGTACACACTTATGTCGAATGCCCACGAATGTGATGTGTCCGTACATATGCAATGTAATATACAATTGTAATACTAATTTCATGTTTAATATGTTATGAGTGTCATATGAACTATTTCAACTATATTTCACATATTTCATGGTCAATTATATCATATGCATATAATTACTATAATTCATCACAAATATTAATATATCGTAAAACATACATCAACATTTTATCCAATAACAATTCCAAGCAAGTTATTCCATATTCAACGTAAACAACACACTTAATTTATTTAAGGAATAATATAAACACATAGCATACTCACATAACACAATTTTTCAAGAAATTATAAACTAGAAATTTCTAAATACCAATTCATGCTAGAATTGATTTTTACCTATTTTCAATACTCATTTCATCAAATTTACAAAAATAGGCAAGTGTTATATACTTTTAACAACATATCCATTCCATATCATAATCCTATGTTAGAAATAAACATA